AAAAAAAACAATAAAAATTGACTTGATGTTTTTCTCAACTGATGTTCCCCGCAGTACCCATGCAAAAGTCCCGCAAGGCTGTCGGGTTCAGAGCAGAAGTTGAACATAGTAGGATGGACTTGAACCGCATCCGTGCTTTCCGGGCACCGTGCTCTGTATCCAAAAGTGAATTGCTAGGCTGATCGAGTTACTGGAACAGAGCAGGAGCATAGCCTTATGAAGGAATAGGTGAAGGAAATGTAGAGGTGGGAGGAGGCAGTGAGCCCCCGTCACAAGAATGGTCATAACTCGTGCAAGACTTTTTTAAGAAATTGCTTTCCAAATTGACTTGGTCCCAGGTGACACCCGTGACAAAGGACAAGTTCTTTGTCGTAGATCAATTCCGTTTCCGCAACATCGATGCGCCCAACATTCGACTTCTATTCAGAATCGTTGTTCCGTGTTGAATGCGTATATGGTCCATACAACAACCTGCGGTCCGTCCATGTTTATCTTGTTTATCCTTTTATGCTCCGAAACGGGTCCGGTACCAATTGACCGAACCCGAAGAGATGGAAGGCGGAAGGCTTGGCTGTCCTGGGCGAACACTCCGACTCGGGATGCAATTCACAGACCTTGCGAGTGTGACAGTGCTGCGCCTGCTCACTCCACCGCCTCCACCTTCTTACCTCTTTATTTTATGAGTTCCCCAACTAAAATTGAAGATCAAAAATAAATAATCAATTTTCGAGTGGTATATTTTTGTTTGAATTTATATTTTCACAATTCGACCCCTCTGAAAGAGCTTTCTTCCCCAGCTGTGCCCATAATCTTCAAGACTACTTCCATTTACACCAGGCTAACCCTTCTCCCGGTAGAGAACTCCACCCTGTTAAGATGTGCAGGAAAAAAAACCGGTGAACAACGGCTACATTTTATTATCATAACCTTCATATTATATTATCAGTGATAATGACAGAAATATTAACCATTCGGACATCTTGCACATTCTCTTTTGTGACTATAGGACCCGTCATCACTACCGTGTCGTTTTTGGGTTTGTGATGAATACATGAGTGCAAGATGTCGTTATAACTGATTACAACGAATTACAAATAGGTATGTGCTATATATCACAACGGAAAAGAATCATCGTGACGGGAGATAGATCTGTTCGGATTCATCGGTTTTGTAATTAACAATCATCTTCCACAGTGCCAATGCCATCGTCTGGGTCGGATGGTGGATCTTCTGCTCCGTCCTCTTGATCCAACACCAACTCCTGGAAAGGTTCAGGATAAGAAGAACTCCAAGAATCTCTCCAAGAGGTAACCGATGCTTAGCTGGTGTTTCCTGTTTCTGACTGTGCATAATAACCCCGGGCAGCGTTGAAAGCAGTCATGGCACTATGTCATTAGGTCCGGAAACCATTTCAAGACTGCGAACTCTTGGCAGAAATTCCTTTTCAGATTATGTATTGAAACAATGTGAGTCAGGAAGTCTCTAGTTCTCCTTATCAGTCTCTCGCCTCAGGATTTGACCAAACACAATGATCGGATCAAACTCTCCGCGGGTCTTTACCTAACCAATTGTCGAGATGGATAGCATTTTTGTATTAGCCACAGAATCGTATTATAGAATTACTCAAACGTCTTCAAACTATATGACGATTAATGGGGTATGGCCAAGGGGCATCCCAGCGTTCTTCTCTCCCAACTAGATGAGTATCTGTCATTTGACCATTGGAAATACATTTTTTGAAAGACTCATTAAGAGCTTTTGAACTTGGGCTAACAATAAGTGTGAGGTGCTATCTTTACTGCTTCATACCTCCTCAAGACAAACATACACTTATGCGCCCCATCCCTGCACCCTATTCCCCTCGAAACCACCTCGAGGATTGCCCCTTCTTTCCTTTGACGCATAGAAGCCTGGTGATCACTGGTGAGCCAATACTCGCTCCACCGCTTCATTCCTAGTCCTAGGCAGGCCCAGGGCTAAAATGGTTGCTTAGGTTGCTGGAAGAACTCCCTGCTTGAATGGTCTTGTACCCAAACATCCTAAAGATGAGCATTCCTGCCTGAGCTCGTATTCACGAAAACCATTCCGTGGGTAGAGATAAGTAGAAAGGTAAGAAATGAGTAATTGTGAAAAGTGATAGATGAGATGAGGTAGGTACTCACTTCTTCAGTAGCTCCTTGGAAACCGGGCATGAAGAAAGCTGGAAGTGATACCCTGAAAATTTTTTTCGAATATGCGGGAGCTCCTCTACCGATCAAGTTACGGTACTTTAGATATAGACCATCCCCACCTTTTTGTCGTAGGAACTCGCGACATTGAACCATCTCGATTCGTCATCGCCGTAGTGTTTCTACGGTAAGGATGGAACGTCATGCGTGAGGATAAGACTGACCCAACGCGGCAGCACGAAGTCGCTTGCTGAAAAAGCCACGAACCGTTTATTCATCCATTTGATGGCAAGCGATGGAGGACCGAACTACAAGGAGAAGAGCACAGGAAACCCTCTGGGCTGCCAAGCGGTTACTGTATCGAGGAGTTGATTAAAAGGTCTTTGGTTTAGGGAATATACTCACCAGTTCATGAAGCAGACAGTCCCGCAGGCGACCAGTTTAGCAGACCTGAGGGCATTTGAATGGCACGCGTTGGTGGGAAAACAGAGATCGCATGTGCAGTACGTGATCCAAAGGGCCCACACCGATTACGCGGCTTCTTACGTCTAATATTACGGTAGGTATCTGAGGGCCTATTCACTACTATTTGGAAAACAAGAGGCTCCGAGTTGATTCAATGCAGGGATAATTTTTGAAAGTAAACGAATTGCAGCAGACCTGAATTCCTTAGAATAAGGTGATAAACATAAACGATAAATATTTTACGCCTTTCACGATCCGTACCGTTTATTTAGGCTTCGATGTCATAGGTGGAGGTATTGGCAAGTGGTGTTCGCAACCAGACGAGAGCTCCTGGTTTGAATCGCAGCTCACCCGCCAAAGCCAACCAAGCCTTTCATCCCTCTGCTGTCTCTTAGTTGGTGTCAGAGGTTCAGGGAAAAAGGCCTGTACATCGGCTGGCCATCACAAGTTGTTGTAGAAGCCTCATACACCTTCAGAATCCCCCTACGATTCTGAAGAAAGTCGAATGTGGGAGCGTCCCCAGAGACGGTAATGATTAATGCCGAACGACTTGCGCCTTGGGGATTTTCACTGTTTCAAGCTTCATTTAAATGGAACGACATCAGCAAGTAAGTGATGCTGTCGTGTAACTACTTGTTTATCAGTCGCTTTGACCATGAATTATCAACGAGTTGTTTACGAAGTCGTTGTTGTTAAAAGTCCTGACTGCCATGTTTGATCTGCAGTATCGATTTGCATTACGAGGTCCACCCGTATTCAACCACCCCACTGATGGAAGCATTCCGTTGGCCCTGTCATCCGATTCCTTTTTGTTTTTCAGTGATCCTCACTTTCCCACTTCGACTTGTACTACTTAAATTGGATTACTTGTAGGTTAATTTGTTGTTATGATGTGTGGTAATTAGGTTGTCATCGATTTGCTTGTAAATTAGAAGGGGGCCTTGCTACTTATAGTGAATATAATGTTGCAGTCCATGACTTTTGTCATACAGTATCCATTCGACAAAAACAACTGCCAGATTTATTAGTTATAAATTATTAGGTTGATGCATAATTATTGCGGATTTTTTCGCGGCTTTTTTTCTCTCGATAGAATTTGAATATTGAGTTCACGTTTTTTCTAGAAATGATCTACTTGATTTCCTC